GTTTTTTCATCAATTGGATTTTATTTTGAAAATTTGATAAATAGTGAAGGGCAAATTCGACATTTTGATTCCTTATATTTGGGTAAAATACAAAAACTTTCCTTAAAGTTTCTAACAATCATAAAAATCTTCTCTATAGTTTCACTTTAGCAAAAACTTCCCCTGAATTTTTAAATAACTCGACAAAAACCTCCCTTCCATCAATGACCGAGATGAAAAACGTTGACATTTACGAAACTACTCTAAAGCATCATTAAACCCTATCTATTGCAGCGGCATTATTGCTCGTTATATTCCATTCTCGAAATATTCCATCCATTTTTCTGGACTGTTCTTCACTGGCTGGCAAGTGTTCTTATCTTTCTATTTTGAAGCTTATGTTTTCGACAATTGTTCTTCACAGCAGTTTTCTTATCTCATGCCTTCCAAAGAAAATATTAACATCTAATGCCCTTACAGGTGTGCTTAAACAGGGGATGGAGATGTTCATCAGATTAACATATCTATCAGAGTTTAAAATCCAAGAGTGATGCCTTCTATCTTAATGATTCTTTTAATGATATTTGTAGGTTATGGATATATCCATTATGGTTGCAGTGCAGTCAAATATGTATTAATTCAAATCCATCAAGATTGTACACGTTAATGGCAGAGACATTTCCGAACTGGCCCTGTATCTCCTGCCCAATTTGTCTGGTACTCCAACACTTAGCTATACGACTTTTGTTCAAAGTACCACAAGAAAGCCCTCGCCTTGAATTTGAATATGCTATATTTCTTATCCAATCAAATTTGAATATACCCCTATTTGAATTCATTTCGATCAGTTTAAATAAATGATCATCCCAATAATCCCATCCCAAAGAACCCACAATTGCAAGTGGCTCTCTCAATTCAATCAAGTCGATTGTGACCATTTTATTATAGGTTGTGTAGAATTGTTTTTTAGCCCTATCTGAACTCCGAATTCTTGATTTATAGTATTAGATAATTGAGGTCATCATCATAAAATCTTGATTTGTTAATTATAATGACAGACAATTGAATATATGCCACATAATCATTATGGAGCCACTTGTGCTCTTAGAGAGTTCCTATGACTCAGGTATTGCTTGGAAGCTAAATGGAAGAGGACCTTTCCTATTTATAGGTTTTAGGTTGGGACATTTTAGAAATTAAAAAAAAAAAAAAAATGTTAAGGGCATAAGTGCTCAAGTTGGTATTATTTAAAGGGAAATTTTCTCAAGGTGATTTGATCTATTTGTCTCATGTCTCTAGTTATACGGGTGGAAAGTAGTAGGGGCAAATTTGTCCATTCACAGTGGTAAGTAAAAAAAGTATAAGTATTTTAGGGATTAGGAAAGAGATTATACGGTTATTTTGGGTATTTTGTGTGAAAGATAGTAGGTAGGAGAGTCCCCTCAATGGTGGATCTCCAAGATTCCAAATTGGAGGATGGAATTAAATTTGGACATTGTTATGGTGAAGATATAGTATAGTTTCACCTAAAGACATATTCCAAAGGGGCAAATGAAAGTAGTTTTGCAAGACATTTTGTGGGCCCATGTTTTGGGGTCTTTAAATTCATTTATGACATCTAATGTGCAAAAATGTTTATGTGATAGAAAATAAGAAGTGTGGATGGTTTCAGTAAATAAATAGGGCGGCCAAAATGGAACGTTGGTTTAATTGAAGGGTAAATAAAGAAAATTTTCAAATAAAATTGGCTTGCATAGGTATTGAAATGTTTAGAGTTTAATGAAAATATTGTTCAGTTGGTCAAGATGGGTGCCAAGGTGGTACTTTTAAAGTCCGTAGTTTTCGACTAATGAAAAAGGTTGAAATGGAATCTAAGTTTGATCGAGAGGTAAATAGGGGTAATTTGAGATAAAACCTAATAGGTGAGGGTTTTGTTGTATTTAGAATTTATGGCATTGTTTGATTAGTGAGGAGGGATGTAAAAGTAATAGATTTAAGGTTGTGAGTTTGGTTAATTAGGAGGGCTAAAATAGAATCTAGGTTTGGTCAAAGAAAAAATAAGGGTATTTTGGAATGAAATTTTACTAGTGGATGTTTTGTAGTATTTTGAGTTTAACAAAATTTGACCATTTAAAGGCTTAAACAATTATTGCTATATTTCATAAGCCTTTTATCATTCATTTTAAAGATAATTTGAATAATTACTATGTTTGTAAGAACCCTCCAACAGCTAGAAAATTCCCTCTCTCAATAAATAGTGATCTCTAGCTTGATTCAAGGCAAGCAAGAAGAGAAAAAAAAAGTACTTTAGTGTACATAGTCTATATTTGCTTTTGTAGAGAGCAAGTTAGTAAAGCTGAGAAGCCAAAAAGCTCATATAGTCTCACCCATTTATTGAGAATCACTTCCTAGATATGAGCATCTCTAATTATATTCTTGTAACTAAATGGTTTTCGTGTTGTGTATTTGTTATGTTTGCCTATTTTAAATGTTTTGAGTCCTGCTACTTTGTATACTTGTAATATCTTTGAGTGTAGAAGGTGTTTTAGGTTGAATGCTATTCAAGATATGATAGACACCCACAAGCTCTATTAGGTTAGGTTGGGTAGGCACCCGTAAGTTGTATTAGGTTAAGTTGGGCAGGCACCCATAAGTTCTATTAGGTTAGGTTGGGCAGGCACCCATAAGTTCTAACAAGGTATTATAGGCATTTAGAAATCTTGCTGATTGTAATGCTTTGCTGGCACTTGAAATTCTAATTGGTTTGGTTAGAGAAAATCCTCATAATGTATTTAAGGTAGAGGACATAAGTAGGGGTTTTTGTGAACCTTTATAATAATCTTGCGTACCTCTTCTTTATGCTTTCTTTGTTTTATCCTTCTCTACTTTAAGTTTCTCAGTTATTGTGTTACTAACTTCTACCGACTATATAAACTTGAATATCTGTTTATCTTGCAGATATTGCATATTACTTGATTTATTTTTTTAGAACATTACCAACTTTACTAACTGGTTAATAATTTGGAAGCTTTATTGATTAGTAAATGCACAAACATCTATGATTACCTTCACCAATTGTAAGGGATTGTACTTCAATTTTTGGGCAATGTTGAATGAATCTGCCTACGGGTTTTTTCTGAAAAAAAGTACTAATATCATGAAAAAGATGAACAATCAGGTAGTATTCATCAAAAATTCATGGTATCATATATTTCCCCTAAAAAGTAATATGATTTTAGAGTGGGACCCACCCTATTTTGCACATATTTTTATATTTGGTTAAAATATTTTTACCTTTTTTTCCCACGGTAGGTTAACCACATGTTTTGTTTGTATTGATGTGTTTAAAAAGCAAATTCATCTTAAAAAAAGGGGTTTTTGTAGTTCAGTCCACCTCCGAAATCTGACCTCTATCGTATAGTTCAGATGAATCCTGCCCGTGGATTGATGTCAAATTTATGGCAGGATGTGGGTTTATAAAAAATTACTAGTAGACTAAGAAAGAGCTGCAATTTCAAATTTCTGAGATGAATTGCAATTCACTTATTCTTAAAAAAAAATCATCAATTATTAGAAAAAAATCAAGGGAAAAGTACGGAAACATACTATGCATAATTCTGAATTCCAGCCCCCCATACAACTAGCCCTGTCCCCCTATAAACCACATCCTGACCGTGAATTTGACATCAATTCACGGTCAGGATGCATTCCCCCTGTACTTTGGGCCTAGTAAATTTTGAACTGGGCTGATTTGTACTTCTCCCAAAAATCAATGCATCCATCCACCCCCACGCTTGAAGTAGCCTCAGACTTGACTTTTACCCTTGATTGTAGCAAACCGTTCGACAAGTTAACAAGTCGGTCAAGTCTTCTTGTTCTTTGTTTTTTTGTCTCTTTTCAACCCCGAACCAACTGCCGTTTTCAACTGTCAATGTGTTATGCTTTCTATCAGAACAGGTGAACTTTCCGAGAGCATTTTGCCACGTACAACACACATGAGAGGTTTTAGCCAATCAAAACTCAAAATTTGTTTCACTTTTATGACGTTGGTGGTATTTTTGTGGGAATCATAGTCGAAACAAGACTTGGAATCGGCTTAAGATATTTCGAGGTTTTAAAATGGACTGAAACACATCTTGTGACCTATTTATCCTTTATTTTTTTAATTTTTAAAAATAAGCAAATAGAAAATAAATTCATATCTCATATAAGAAATTAAAACCAAATATAAAACAAATTCATGTCTCTGATATTTATGACATTGTTAGAAAAACTAAGGTTTTTTTAAAATCGACTTGAACAATGAATCAGTCAGGGGTCTGGTTCTCGGGTCGAATAGTTAGATTATTCGAACTAAACAGATAACCTGTTCTGCCAAAATTAAAAAAATAAAAACCGACTAAACCGTCAAATGATTTGAATGCCCGAGTCAATAGTTTGTTGACCAATCAGCAGTTTTAAGGGAAATAGCATTACAGAAAAGTGCATTACTTCTTTGATATCTCTTACTCCTCTCTCAGTTTCCATGATTTTAATTCAGCTATCAATAGCACAAATTTGAATACCGAATTTTCTTGTTGGTGTTTATTGTTTAAGTTTACAACGAACGAGAACATGAAACAAAGTGGATATGGAACACAGGCAGTGGCAGAAATCCATATATTTTATTTTACTTAATTTTCTTTTTTAATTATTGATGTGGGGATATTTAATTATTCAACCGTGTAATTACTCAACAAATTAATTAAAGATGCCACCACTTAAAAACTATCTCAGTACCATGATACATACTCTCTATTCATGAGCCGTTTTATCTGAAATTACAGTATCAAATTTTTGAAACAAGACATAGGAGGGCAAAATAAGATTTATGGAGAAAGAGGAAAGGAGAACCCAGATGGGTGGCCCTGCCCCGAAGGGAGCCACCCCAAACGATCGCCGCTGAAACGAAAACCCTAATTTAGTCTAGTGGGCTCAGCTCACAAATTATATTAAAATCAAAATTTAATTAAAAGCTCAAGGTAGGTATGTTCAAGTAAATTAAGGGGGTGGGGGTATGTAAATATATGTAGTACATCAAATTAAAAGACGAAGATGAGATGGATCTAGCTAGCTAGCTTACACATATAAACCACCTGTCCTAACTCCTAATAGACATGTAAGAAGCTAATAAGCACAACTACAGGAAACAGCAACTGCTTCACCACAAACAACGTAGAAAAGGAACGGCTTGCTGATGAATTGGGTTCACTTCCACCAGTTCCATTCGGTACAGGGTTGTCCACGGTCACCGGGCGCTGACCGGTTGCGCAAGAATCCGGTAAGCATGTGGGGTTGACTTGATTTATGAGAACCATGGGTGCAACCGAGCAATGTCTTGGTGTACTTTGATTACAGATCTGATTATATGGCAGGTTATTGCGATACGTGAAATACGCGGCACGTCTTCCATATATATCGGATTGATATACCTCGCAGTACTGAGAGCAACTTGAATCAGCGTCGCCATAAAGTTTGTAAAGCAATTCATTGGCCTTGGTGCCTGCTTTTACTCCCCGAACCTGAAGTGCACCGTATAATTCTTTATAATTGTTCTTAACATACTTGGTAAGTGAACAGTCAAATATACGTTCAAGGAATTCATTCACAACAGCCTTCTCAAACAAAGCTCGCCCTCGTTCGCTGCATGCAAACAGAAGAGAAGAAAAGGGTTTATATTGATTATAAGCATGCATGGTTTTTAAGCGCTGAACTGAACCGCCGGGTGCAGAATAGAATTTGTACCGATCTGATTGACTGATTCATATCTTCATTGTAAACGAATAGATCGAGCATTAAATTAAGAAGAAAAATGTTGGACTACTTACAGTGTATTATTGCATGACTCTGATGAGCAGGATGCAAAAGAGGTGCAAATTAAAAAAAATATAGCAAGCAACTGCCCAACACGAGCCATTTTTGCTTCTCCTTCCGTAAACATGAAAAGAAGCAAAGACAAATATATAGAGAGTTAATGGCTGGGCGCTGGGCGCTGGGCGCGTTCTTCTTATAGTCATAGACCGATCAGTATTCGTTAATTACGAGAGGAATGCCATCCCCCACATCACATACAACAATAATTGTACATAAAAGCGTTGTACACGAACTCCCCCTCGAGCGTGCCCCATACGCACATCCATCCCCCTATGCATTTGGAGCATCTCCCCCCCCCATGACAAGTACGGGAGATGCTTCAATTCAAATGTACGCGGATGTGCTCACTGCGCGTGAAGACTGCGTCCATCCCAACATGTTGGCTGATTCACACGCCTTCTTTCTTGCTACTGCTACACGTCAAATTTATGATACCTCAATTTCAACGGAAGCTCCAATCACAATTTCTTTATGTAAAAGCATTTTTGTAGGGTAGAAATGAATCCAGGTTTTCATGAATTATTTGAGATCAGCTTGTAAAAAGTTCAATTTTGTTCGATCTAAATCGAGCTTCAATTTGTTTCGCTTCTTAATCAACTCAAGCTTGAACCTAATCAAGTTCGGTTTGTGCGGTTGATGAGTCTAATTCAACTTATATTAATAAATAATTTTTATTATATGCATAACAATGTTTCTATTTTTTAAATGTATGCTGATAAATAATTTTTATTTTTTATAAGAGGTTGGCTCACATTCGAGCTCGAATATATGAGATTTTGAGCCAAGTCAAATTCAATCTCAAATCTTTAGCTTGGATCAAGCTCAGGCCTAATGGATTTTTGGTGAGTCAAGCTCGAATAGCTAAATATTTGGATCGGCTCGAATCTGCCCCTAGCCTCCGGGATATGTAGCCTCTTCTACACAAGTTTCCTAAATATGCTCCTCACACAACACGTTCCAGCTGCACATTGAGAACATTTCCCATACTTGTGTGTTGTTACTCTGGGAGAGATTTTCCCAATACATGGTGGGATATGTTGCATGGTCGTTGTGAGGTGTGCTCTATGAGGAACAAACCCCAATTCCTTCTACATGGTACCCAATCCTAATGTACATTGGCCCACGATGCGCTGTTCCACCTAAAACATTCATTTCTCTTGTACTAAACCCAAACAGGCAGAGGTGTCAATTGGATTGGATTTGGTCCAACCCGATCCAGTCCAATGCGAGTCCACTTACAAATGGACTGGACCCAATCAAGTCCAAATCCAATCCTATCCATTAAAATGTAAATGGACTAGATTGGATCCAATCCAAACCGAATGAAATATCAAAAATTATATAAAAAGTTACAAAAAATATATTAAAACGAAGAAAATCTGAAAATTAGAAAAGATGCCCTTTCGGCATTGGAAATGTACTTTTATATAAGTGCTTTCGTAAAAGTACTTCATAAAACTGCTTTTATAAAAGAACTTTCATATAAGTGCTTTATAAAAGTGCTTTCATAAAAGTAGTTTTGTAGAAATGCTTTTACAAAAGTACTTTCGTAAAAGTGCTTTTATAAAAGTACTTCCGTAAAAGTTCTTTCGTGTAAAAGTACTTTTATAAAAGTAATTTCGTAAAAGTATTTTTGTAAAAGTGCTTTCATAAAATTACTTTTATAAAATGCTTTTGTAAAAGTGTTTTCATAAAAGTGCTTTCATAAAAGCACTTCCATAAAAGTGATTTTATGTCGGATTCAGTTTTGATCGGTTTCAAATTGGACAAGGGTTTGGCCTCATGATCAGATTATTGGAAATTTGGTTTACGTCCAATTTAGACCAATAAGAATATGAACCAATTTATTTTGGATTGACCCAATCCAATAATTATAATGGACCATCCAAATTCGATTTGATAAAGTTTGGATCGAATTGAATCTAATCCAAAACTGGTTAATTGACATCCCTACAAAGTTTGTAGGTAATTTCTCTTGTATCAATCAATTTGGGTCCATGTTAGAGTGCATAAAGTTAAGTAAAGGAGGAATTTTAGTGGGTTAGAGGAGATGTTTACACACATTGACAATTAGAGTTCTAAGAATGACTTTATCACTACAAAAAACCAGCCTTCGGGGATATTAAGAAAATTTTATCGGAAGTGAAAACTTTTCACAATGTTTGTTTCTCTTCGGCATTTAAGCAAAGTCGTGAAAACTTTTGGCAACATTTATTAAATGTTGCGAAAAATACCACTTTTAGTGATGTCTAATAATTGTCATTAAAACCCACTTTAAACATCGCTAAAGGTCATTTCTGGCGATCTACAATTAAAAAAGAGGTTTTTGTCTGAAGAAAAAAAGGGTTTTGAATGTTGTCGGCATAGATGACATTGACGAATTTACCCCGATGGAAAAACATTATTGTTAAATATAAGAATGGTCTTATTTACAATTCTTTCATTAAATATGAACACCAACAAAGAACATAGAACATGGAATATCACCTGCTTAAAAGTTGGATGAGAAACAAAGAATTTCCTGTTTGCCAACATCTTGTTCATCTACACCCCATTTCCATCATCATAGCTAGATCATTGCTTAAGCCAACACAACAGTCGAACATCTTCTAACATCTCCAACCACTCCCAGTTTCTCCAAGGCCTTCTGCATGTACTCTAATTACTTAGTACATGCAAATATCAATCAATCAAATATTAAGAAAGATCACAACCACGTATGTAGCGATTATTGGATAAACTAATTCTATTACAATCGCATTCAACACTTGAACCAAGAGTATGGTAAATCATGGTTTTTAAAATCGGCTCGGTGATCTAATCGGTCAGGGGTTCAGTCACTGGGTCGAATGGTCTGATCGTTCAAACTAAATGTTTGGCCCGTTTTTGACAAAAAATTAAAAACTATTCAAAAATAAATAAATAAAGAATGGTCAAAACTGTTGGAACCCAGTTCAGCGATTTACCGACCAAAATCAACAATTTTGGGAGAAAACCCAGTTTTTAAAGAAAACAGAACTGATCACCTGACTGATTCCCAGTTTTTCCAATCTAACCATCGGGTCCAGTCTGATTTTAAAAACCATATAGCAAATGTATGGGTAAGGAGATGGATTACAAGTGGAGGATCTTAGTACAACAGTTCCATAGACAACACTTGACCATTCATCATTTTCTCAAGTGTCCAGAATAATGAGATCAGTTGCATAGTCCAATGATTATTAATACCCATTCCTCAACTTGGTAGCGAGTTTGTTCTTCAATAACAAACTCCTTAATTCCTCCACTACAAGAAAAATAAGCTAGGCCGGCGCTAGCTGAACTTTCGGCTTAGCCTTTTAACCGCTGCCTTAGACATTAGCCAGCGATTAGGGGACCGCCATCTTTACTTGGGTCGCCCTAGTTCATGGACACTGGCCTAGAAGACAATGACCGCCGTCGTAGGGACCCGGTCCACCCATTAATCCTTTAGCGGTATTTAGAAAACTGTCGGCCCATATAATGTGGCGGTGGTCCAAACCGCTGGGATAGGGTAGTTAGACAACGGTTATTGAGTCGACAGTCCAAACTGCTAGCTTAGATTATTTTGTCGTTTTAATAAACTGCACCTTACTTAAATTATGTAATCAAATCCGACCATTTTAACTGCCAAGTTAGATTATTTTGACATTTTAATAAACCGCCACCTTAATTAAACTGCCACCTTACTTAAATTATGTAATCAAATCCGGAAATTTTAACCACCACATAAATGCCTTATTTCACCAAAGGTGGTGGTTAGGACTATCGGCATAGACAGTATAAACCATCAGCTTAGATACGTGTTGCCAAAGGTGGAGATTTCTATGACCACCGGCTTAGATATAATTTGGCAAAAGTGGTGGTTTCTATGACCGCCACTACAAGTTATATGATTTTTAGCGGTAGTCAAAATTGCCATTAAAGGTTCCTAAAACTGTCACTAGAAAATTTACGAGGAAACTGTTGTTAGACCATTTAGCGGCAGTTTTTGCGCTGCTGCTAAATCTATTTTTCCCATACAATCCATAATGTTTTTTTTTTTTTTTAAATTATTCATGCTTTGCTTCAAATAACCTGTTTTGTCTAATTCATCGAAATTGGAAACTAATGAAAAACAAAAATTAATACAGATGTGATGTGAGTTAGCCAGGCCCATCCCACTAACGACTAACAGCGTCAGCCACAGCAGGGAGGAAGCCCTGCTGTCCTCATACGGAGCCAACCGCAGGACGGTTGGACGTAACTACCAGGGGCCTACTGCCTGATCTCGTATGGCCCTCATCTTCACCTACCTCTAGCCCGCTCAAGTATAAATAAGAGGTAATTCCCCCTTAATGAGGGCCGGAACTGGGAATTCTGACATAGCTCCTTCATTTATTTTCCGCACCTACCTTGTTTCCTTAGCGTTTACTCTTGGAGACCCGGTGCATCCAAGGACAGTCACGTGAGAGTCAGAGCCTCCGCTTCGAGTCCCCACTCGAGGCCTCTAACACTTCCTATTCTGTAGTACCTCGGATCTCTAGGAACCTCGCCACCGGAGTGACGTCTTAAAGTCCTTAGAAGGAATACCTCGCCTCGGCCTAAGGTCTTTAGCCTCGGCTAACCTCTTCCGAGGCCTCGAAGTCTTCAACTTGCCTTCGAAACTTGAAGACTGAATTTACCTCGTTGGCCCCAACTAATTCATGCGAAAACAATTGGCATCGTCTGTGGGAATCGTTCTAAGATGACCCCATTTTATGATAAAGAACATACTTTTACACCAAGCCCTTTTAAGCTCGAAAGCCATGCTCCGAAGAACTAGGAATAATCTGAACCTAGTCACCTATGAACAATTTCAGGGTATCCTCGATCGCTTGGACTGCCCTACTCAACGTATGGAAGAAGTCTGCCCCCGAGCAGGACGTCCCTCTCGAGGTGACCACCCCGTTGGGGTGTTAGAGGATCTGAGCAGACATGACCATGTCGAGCCACCAACCCTCGGCCAAGGAAATAACTCGTTGGCCAAGTCGCTAGAGTTGTGCAACGACCGTTCCCTCAATTCACCACGAAGAAGCAC